TTGCAATGGTCCACGCTCGATGTAAGACTGTCATAGGTTGAAGAGCGTTTTGGCGAAACCTTGTCAAATCTCCTCCCATGCATGCGTGCATGCGGCAAAGTAGACCAATCAGGTTTCACCATTTCGTCTGCATAGATTCCTGCTTGGAAAAATTACGATATGTCCGCAAAATTTTGCCAACAATTTTGGGAAAAGAAATATTAATTGGTGGTTGTATCATAGTGAGTCGGCAAAATTTGTCTTCATGTTAACTCGATAAAATTCACGTACACCGACCCGGCAACCCCCTCACCCCATTGAAAGAGGTCTAGCTACGCTCCTGGTAAGGAAATCTTCTCCGGACTGGATCTCCGACATTTTGTTTTGGTAGAAAAAGCAAGGAGGACTCGGCCACGGACGCAATAAAATGCTGGGTTTTGCTTCCCTGGTTTCGCATTTTCAACTGCTGCCCCAAACGCCTGGGTACTTGAAACAATCGCTTGAGATTCTACTGTATTTAAGCTATAGACTGTAAGTCATTTGTCTGCCCATGGAAGCATGGAATACGAATTATAGTCGCTGGCCAATTTGCATTTATTCAAGCGTTCGTTGACTGTCAATTATCCCCAATAAATGCAACTCTTGTTCTCGTTCGACCGGGGAAGGAGAATTGACGAAACTCTCATGCAAACTCTCGCAGGCTAAACTCTCATCAACTGTCAGGGTCTCAATTAAAGATAAATAAAAGGTGAATTAAGTATCTCTACATGCAATCCTGTGTATGGGCTTGTTTGCAGAATTTCCTGCCTGGCAATGAAAATTAACTACGTGTTTACAATGGACTGTCTGCGGCCCTGCGATTCCGGTGCAGCGCTCTAACCAACTGAGCAACAGACGCTAGTTGTGTATATATATATATATATATATATATATATATATATATATATATATATATATATATATACCCGTCAGAATTACTCCACGCACAAGACAGCACAGTTATATAAAATCTCTTAGGCATTGCAGCACTTTGAGACCTATACAAGTGAATAAAACTGCCCCGAGTCAACCACGCTTAATTCCATGTTGCTCAGTGTTGAACGCCAGATCTATTGCAAACCTGATGCTTTTCCTGCTTTGTGCGCAGACATTAAGTGCAATAACATAGATGTTTGTTGTATAACCGAAACATGGCTCAAACCGACTATACCTAGCTCCCTCGTTTGTCCTCCCAATTTTTCCATCATTAGAAAGGATAGAACAAACTGTGGAGGAGGAGGTGTCGCGATCTTATGCAGGAATGATTGGAGAATGCAGCTACTACCTGATTTGGATAATCCATTCGAATGTTTATGGACAAAAATTATTACACAAAACTCTGAATTCTTTGTTGCAACTATTTACCACCCACCTAACTATGAGTATAATGATCAAGACCTTATCGAATTCCTTATTGACTCGTGCGAACAACTATTGTTATCTAAACCGAATTCAAATATAACAATTGCTGGTGACATTAACAATTTAAACATTCGATCTGTTCTTAATCAACTTCCATTTACCCAACTCGTTAAGACCCCTACGAGAGGGTTAAAAATATTAGATGTCTTTATTACAAATGTCCCAAACTATTGGAAATCGGTTAAAGTTGTAAAAAGCTTGGTGAGATCCGACCATGATATGGTTATCACATACCCCCGAAACATAGTTAAAGCAACAAGGACAAATTCCTATTTCAGAGATGTGAGACAACATCATCAATTGAATATGCTTCGTGAACTTGAATCTATTGATTGGAACACGATAATTATGAATAGCCATAACCTAGATGAGGTAACCCTAAAATTTTATGAAATAATATGGCCAAAATTCGATAAGAGCTTCCCACTAATTAAGGTCAGAACGTCATCACGCGACCCTCCGTTCATGTCTCCTCTTGTGAACCACCTTCTGAATCAAAGGAAAAGAGCCATACAAAACGGAAATACTGAAGCAAATACACGATTGCAAGAAAAAATCAACAAGTTAATTCGGGAAAATCAATTAAGTGCAGTCAAACAGGAGTTTGGCAACCAGAAAACTGGATCAAAAAGTTGGTGGTCTAACGTAAATAGCATTACATCGAGAAAAAAGAAACATGATGTATCAGTAAGTGCTTCTCTTAACCCTAGTGAAATTAACAAATATTTTCAAAGTGTGAATACAGACCCAAATTATACGACTCCCGAGCCTCTTCAAATCTCCGAAGGAACAAGAATTCCCTCGTTGTCAATTCATGAAGTTCAACATCTTTTACGCAATCAAAAACGCTCTTCATCGGGTCCGGACAATCTGCCATATTGGTTTTGGAAATCGTTTGCTATTGAATTAGCTCCTATTGTCACAGAAATTTTTAACATGTCACTAGAAACCAGCAAAGTACCTCAGAAATGGAAATCCGCTAATTTATTACCACTCCCTAAAGAATCACCATTAAATTCGTGTAACCAGTTAAGACCAATCTCTCTGACGGACATCAACATGAGACTATTCGAGAAGTGCGTGTATAAATCTGAAATCGAACCTATCACAAGAAATAACATTGGTCCTGACCAATTTGCTTATAAAAAGGGTCACAACTCGACTATGGCTCTGATTAAATCCCAACATCAATGGCTAGAGTGGCTGGATAAAAACGCTAATTATGTTAGAGTGCTGTCGTTCGATTTCAGCAAAGCATTTGACAGTGTGCCCCACGATCTTTTGTTTGAAAAAGTTAAAAAGCTACCCATTAATCCGTATGTGGTGAACTGGTTAATTAGCTTTCTAGAAAATAGAATACAAAGAGTAATGGTTGATGGAATGGTTACAGAATATTTACATATTAATCGTGGTGTCCCTCAAGGTACTGTTTTAGGCCCAGTTCTTTTCTCAATAATGGTTGATGATATTAAAACTGTTGATCCTAGTAATGCGTTAGTCAAATTTGCTGACGATTTGACGTTAGGAGTGCCTGGCAACGAAAGTGGTGACACATCTCGATCTGAAGCTGCCTGTTTACAGGATTGGGCGGAAGAGAATAGAATGCCCTTAAACTTGGAAAAAACGTACGAAATGGTTGTTCGCAGACACACCTCTGTAGTTTTGCCCGAGCTTATCCCTTCAATTAAGCGAAAAACATGGCTAAAGCTTTTAGGAGTTACTCTACAAGATAACCCGTGCAACTGGGATTTGCACTTTGAAGAAATGCTCAAAAAAGCAAGTGGACGAATGTACATTATGAGAGTTTGCAAATACTATGGACTATCAATTAAACAATTAGATCTGCTGTTTGATAGCCTAATTATGTCGATATTCACTTTTGCTATTGAGCTGTGGGGTTGTGCATACGACGGTAAATATTTGAACCAAATAGATAAATTCATTAAACGTGCACATAAGAATGGTTATATATCAAAACGAACACACATTAAAGAAATACGTGATAAGAGAGATAAGAAACTGTGGAACAAAATAACATCAACTGAGGACAATGCACTGCTTGAACTGCTGCCGGAAAAAAGAAGTAGGTTACTTAGGCCTAGAGGGCATGAGTATGAACTCCCCCTAGTGAGAACAGAAAGATTCAAAAGGTCGTTCATAAATCGTTGTCTGTATAACTTTGTGTAGACTTTAATCTATTTAGACTTTAATCTATTAAAAACTTTTTAAAACTTTTTACGCTTCTTAACTTACAATTGTAAATATAACTAGATCAATTACCTTTCGATTGTAAACTCAGACGGATGTATCTGAGTATTTTAATAAAGACTATTATTATTATTATTATTATTATTATAATCACTGTCGATTTCCTTATTGCATTCCTCGCACCGAAGTGCCGAACGCGATGTCGGTACTGTTTTTTACGAGATGCCATATGTAATGATTTTAAAAAATCGCGCACTTTTATGTCTATCTAAAAGTCTAAAATTAGTCACATTAGGTCATTGTACGGTTACGTCAATGTCAATTATAATGTAGTATATATTTTCAGTGACTGCCTACTGTGTCATAGCCGCGGTGCCGCCCAAGACCAGAGATTGTATTTACGCAACCAATGCTATCAAAGGAGATAAACATTACTGATCCGATTGTTACTACGCACACTTATGACAGCACCACCCTACTAAAACTAAGTACATGATCATAGGATCGTCATATAATCTAATCAATAAAGTTCACGACTATCCTGTGTTCTTGAACAACAAACCTCTTTTTAGAACTAGCTCTTTCGAATGTCTGAGCGTTTTACTAGATGAAAACCTTAAAGGGGATAAACAGATCGACAAGGTGTTGAAAAAAGTTGGATCTGGCATTGCAATGTTGCGAAGGGCTAAAAATTTTATTCCAGTAAGCTCACTTCAAATGATTTATAATGCCTTGATTCAACCTTATCTTGATTACTGTTCTCCACTATGGGACATTTGCGGCACACAACTGCTTGATAAACTTCAGAAATTTCAAAATCGAGTGGCCAGAATAATTGCTGGCGCAAGTTACAAAATTGAATCTACTATTGTTCTTGAAACTATTGGTTGGGAAACTTTAAAAAGTAGGAGACAGAAGATGAAGTCCATTCTTCTGTATAAAATTCTAAATGATTATACTGCTCCTAACTTGAAAGACTCATTGACTGGGAGTAGTTTAACGCAAGCGAATTATAATTTAAGAAATAGCTATACTGATTTAGCTCTCCCAAAACCAAGAAGGCAATTCGTAAAAAAAATGTTTTAAATACAGAGGGGCAAAGCTTTGGAATAGCCTTTCTCGGGAAGCAAAAGAAGCACAATCAATTCATATTTTCAAACAAAATATTAAGGCTAGTTCCTCGGGTAGAGGAGAACTGATCACGTGATCGGCTAGTTGTGTTGTTTGTGGCGTCAGATATAACCCAATCCCTATCTCTAAGCCTAATCCTTGATCTAACCCTTACCCTAACCCTTACCCTAACCCTAACCCTTACCCTAACCCCAACACTAATCACTATAACTAACTGATGACGTAATCTGTGTTGCAAATTCTTCTACCCGAGGATGTACCCAATATTGATCTCTGACTCTGTTACCAATGTTAATATAATATGATATATGGATCACACCTCCTGTATCCAGCATGCACTTTTGTAAATAGTTCTTTTTTTGTCTTTGTTTCTATTTATTTTCTTGTAAATATTAATACTTTGTATATAAATTGACGACGCCCCTCATGCATGAAAACCAACTTATGACGTTGAAGAGGCTAGCGTCATAAAATACATTTTTACGATACGATACGATACACCTTCGCAATATGTGTAGCTATATACTATATACTTATATAGTTTAATAGTTGTATAGCCTACATTATGCTAGGTAAACTGATGAATATAGGCATGAATATAGCCTGCGTAGCAGGCGCTATTTAGGGGGGAGAGCGAGGGTGGAAAAAGCTAGGGGGGAATGCGAAGGCGAGAGAAAGACAGCGAGGAAAAATGGAAGGGGCGAGAATGAAATAGCGCCTGCAGGAAAGCCATATGTTTTCTCATATCTGTCCAAGTCCCGCCCATTAAAAACATATGGCTTTCCTGCAGGCGCTATTTCTTTCTCGCCCCTCCCATTTTCCTCGCTCTCTTTCTCTCGCCTTCGCATCCCGCCCCCCCCTAGCTTCTCCCACCCTCGCCCTCCCCCCTAAATAGCGCCTGTTACGCAGGCTAGCATGAATACAGTGGTGACATTTTATTAGTAGCCATAGCAATTGTTCCTTCGTTGTTGGGGATTTACGTCTGTGCACAGTCTGTGGTATGTGCGTAAAAATCAAAACCAGGTCTGCCAGTTAGAACACTTGACCTTTAATAAAGGTTAACCTGACGCAACATGCTTGAATCCAGTTATGCGATCTATGGTATTAATAAATATACACAAACGTAGTGAAACGTTGCCATTACAGATTTACAGTGCATGATTGAACCTGTAAAAGTTGAACTTGTTGAAATAATACTTCTGTTCCGCTTTATGGATCAATATATTCGTCTAATCACCAGACCGTCGTTGCCCGAATGACAAGACAATTTTTGCCCGAATAGATAAATTCTCAAAAAATTGGGGGGGGAGGGGCTGTAGCCCCCCCAGCTCCACCCTCCCGTACGCCTATGAAATCACCCAACTAAATGTGAAATCATTCAACTAAATGTGAAATGATTCAACAAGATGTGAAATGAGGGTGTAGTTAAAAGGCGGGCGCGGACTGGCGGACGCGGACCGGCGGACGCGGACCGGCGGAATATTTTTTTACCAATTTTTTAATTATTGGAAATAAATTTAAATATAAATAAATAAAATAATATTAAAAAAAATATTTATATTATTATTAATAATAATTAACAATTATTTAGCCTGCGAGCAGGCTCTATTCATTTCACACGTGTAGTATTTTTGGTGGTAACGGCCGCTCATACATAGCCATACTAAAAATCTCGCTAGTTGGGCAATATAAAAAAAATAAAAAATGCACAAATTTGAGGTGTTGGAAAAACACGAGCCGTCCCCCCTGGAGAAAGATATGCATGCAACCTCCCCCCTGATTGTTTACACCATACCTGTCTCGATTGAATTTTTTCCCTAACCACAATAGTTGCAAAGAGAATTCTTCACTTTGCGCTAAAAAATGATCTACATCTTTCGAAACCAAGCTTATTACTTTTGAAATAAAGTATTCTATAGTATATCTATATATAGAAAGCGGGAAGAGATAGGGACACCCGCGCGAGAGCACAAATCCGCAATTATTACCGATGCAACTCAGATTCTTTATCAGCACTACGCCAGATAGTGCAACAGCAATCTAGAAATTTATTTAAAGATATATACCGGATTATTGTTATAAAGAGATCTGGTAAATTAAGCAACCCAGTCAACACTCGGACCAAAAAAGAATGTCCACTAGAATTAGTTCGATGAAATTGACGACACGAATGCGAAGCGCGTAATACAATGGGTAAATCGTTCACTGCATGGCAGAACGACATATCGCGTCCACCTCTAAGAGGCCACTTCAAGCGCCTTCAGAGTCAGGCACAAGCTACACTTTAAAGTATGCAGAATACATGGCGAGGGGAGAAGGCTAATGCAGTGTCTGGAATTGATTTTCAAACTAATTGTCCGTTCATTTATATCCGCTATGCATGCGTCGTATCACGGTTAATAGAAGTTACTTTTATAATATAGCATTTGTAAATTCTGAGCCCTGATTGGCTAAGAGCCGTGTTGACATAACTCAATGTTAACACGGAAAATTTCTTTTTTATATTTCTGTGTGCTATATCAGATAAAAAATATAAAACATTTTTCCGTATTGATATACAGTTATATCAACACGAGTGGCACACAATTTCGAGTTTTCCCAATTTCCACTCGTGTTGATATCATGCCTGTATATTTAATTTTTTTGCAGGTAGCCAAAAAACATTTTCAGTTAGCCCTGCGTAGTCCAAACGTGCTCGCTTCGCTTGAAGTTTGCAAATTGCGACATGGGACCGGGCACAGTCTTGTCGGCTGACGAATAAGATTCGGCCATAGAACAGGAAATTTTAAGTTTTTGATGGCATCATTTGATGAATTTACGTCTTGGGTACGACTCTTATTAAATCTGGTCGGTAAATATTGCAGAATGTATTCGGAAAAATTGAAATTTTCTACTTTACTTAAGCATGCATGACCTTCTGACCAAGGATTGCAGTTAGCTTCAGGCACTTGCAGGTAGCGCCGCTACCTAGGATCCCAACATCTGACAGGCATGGTTGATATAACTGTTATATCATCAACACGGAAAATGCAGGCGGTGTGCGCAATACAACCGCAAAGGGTGATGGGGTTTTCGCGCCTGAATTGCAATTGCGCCTCATTTGCATTTTGCTTTGACCGAGTGAACATACTGCCAATAGGGACCACGATACAGGGACCATCCATTTGTGCCCAAAATGTGCAAACGTTGTTGCAATCCACTGCACATAATGGTCTTCAACTCCAAGCTTTTGGCAACTGTCAGCAGCAAAAAACCTTACATTGTAATCAATCAATCCAAAAGGCATTCGACTCAAAGGCATACTTGTCTCAGTTGTGCCATCTTTTCGTCTCTCAAAGCACCGTGACATACCATAAAGCAAGTTCTTCTTGCCCTCTTGCAGCAATGTTGTCATGGCATTTAAACTTTTGTTCAGAAAATCTGCTTGCACAAATTGGTATAAAGCCATGCCTCCAAGTTCAATAACAAAAAGCTTGTATAAATAGTTCAATAATTGTTCCTTTAATCTTTGGGACATGCTACACTTGAAGGTTGTGATGAAATTTTGGACAATATCACCAACAGTACCTGGGTTATTTCCTGCTGAGCCCTTACATGGTGACTCTTTGGAAATTGGTGAGAGATTATCACTAAAATTGAACACAGCAGCAGGACTTGATGGCACAGGAATAGCTGAGCCAACAGAATCATGTACATAGTCAATTTCAAAATCTTTTTCTGCATCACTCAATGTACCGTATTCTTTCGCCAAGGTTTTTAGGACTCGGGTTCTACATGAAACTCCTAGAACAATTAAAATATTTTGATTTAATTGAAATATAAGAATACACACATGGCATTTATCAGTTGAATTTAATCACAACATTATGTGGGAGCTTGTTGTTTAAAGATGCGTCAACTCAATTTGCATTTGTCGAATTAAATTAAGCATCGCCCTTCATTTAATGTTTACAAATGTTTCATCCTGCAAATGTGTTCAGCCTGATATTATATTATGGGTTTAATTAATCCGTTAAGTTGCACTGCATCCTAATGTGCCCTTCTTTATTATTTTACTCTGTCTACTAACACCAGCTGATTTTACCCGTCAAGGAGGGGGCGCTGGCACCCATTCACCCAATGCTCGGTTAGTTGATTTAATTTAATATCAGTATGATTTGAATACCATACCTGATCGTTGGGAATTACATGCATTAAATACTGCTTGGGCACATCCATCCCAGAACTCTTTATCTTTGGTTGTAGGCCATTTGTCGTTCAAGGCATCTTTCCAATACAGACATATATACTGTATTACCATACAGGTTTCTTGTTTAGTCCATGACACTGGTTTTTCATTCCTGCTGGATACAGAACTTTGAGAAATTGTTTGGAAAAGGCTCTTCCTCGAACTACCTTCATGTAAAGTCAACTTGGGCTTTGGCTTCCCTGGACTGTCGCCAGTTGACAGCTCGAAGCATCTCTTGGTCATAGATATCTCATATACACTAGATAGCACATCTCTTTTAGTAAAATTGAAGCCAAGAATATTCCAGCGGTTACCCCCATTTGAATAGATGGCGGCCATGTTGGTAGTTCCCACTCGCTAATAAATGCTTAAAAAACAACAATAACTTTCATCATTTGAATAGTTTAAAAATGTATTTGGGAATAGGTTTAACTTAATGTTTAAGTTCCCTGTTTAAGAAATAGAAAACGTACGAATCTTCTCATTTCATGGGAATACCCTGAGACTGCAATCACGGCTTCAATTTTTGAATTGCAGAATAATTAGATGCACTATCTAGTGTATATAAGATATGCAGACTATGCTCTTGGTAGCCGGTGTCAATGCATCATTTACCTGTTAAAATATGCATTATAAATTCAAAAATTGCAGACGAACCGTACGAGGTGCGATGGGGTGCGATGTGATTTTTGGATAGTTTATGCTTTAAAAAACAAGTATAGAAAAGAAATGCTATTAATTTTTAATCGTGTAAGGATATTCTGGCAATATAAAAACGCTAGTAAAACACAACGTCGAAACATGCCAAATATGGGTTCAGTTCAATCGGCTATAACTTTCGACACAGTCAAGTTTTTGTGAATGATTTTAGGTACACATTAATTAACACCAAACACTCCTTTTCGATATAATAATACCAAACGTAATCAAAATGAGAGGAAATACGAATAAATGCTAAACTTACCCTTAACTGATGGTGAACTAACATTCCTTCGCAAAATGTGTAAATTGTGCCCCCATACCACAGAGCCCATACTGCTTTGCGGTCGTATTGTGCACACCGCCTGCGGAAAATGTTTTATATTTGTTAAATTCTTGAGTCTTTAAATCCACGAAATCTCGTATCGTTAACATAAAGACCCATGTTTACTTTCTTAGTTATTAAAATTAACTCGAGAACATTACACCAAGAGGAGTCTCTTCCAGTGATTCGGTCTACTCTATATTATTTATTATTTTGTCATCATGTAAAATAACTTAGTCTGATGTTTTCATTTAACGTGTACGTTATTTTCATAAAAGTGATTTAAATACTAAGCGTGAGGCTCTGAGAGCAAACGCATGATCAGTAATAATATTAAAAATATTGTTTAAACGTCCAACTTTATGCCGCCACTGTGAACTCCAAGTCTTTCAGCGAACCCCACCAAACACAACCTTCGGCCAATTGCGAAATCGTCAACTGTGAAATTAGCTCAATAGCTGCCCATGACAAATATGGAGTTTTGACATGATATTCAGCGTAGTGACGTCATAACGTCGATATTTAAAAAGTAATATTAATCATGCCAATGACGACTGCCGAAGGAGTGAGGAATTGTGTCACAACACAATGACGCTTTTTCCTGTTTTTAAATAAGTAATAATAAAATTTCATAGTCTAATTCGAGCTTGTTGAATCCCTTCTGTATAAATTTTTATACTAGCCTATAAACTGGTTTATCTGCAGATGCATTATGACGATAAAATGGGTGCTTTTCTGTCTTCGTTGTTTTTGGTTTGGGTGTCACAAACGTGACATTCCATCAGGATATCGCAGGCTCAGTGTTCGGCGATGTAATTCGTAAACCGCCTGTATCACCACTTTCAGCGTGCGTCACATTCGATGAATATGGAATGAGATATTCACAACGCGAAACACGTGTCTAAACACGCGTCCCAACAACACAGAAAGGGGTCACGAAGTTCAAGAATTACGAAGTTCAGCGATGACAGCCTTCGTGATATCGTTGGATTAGTAGTAGAATTTTGGTCGCTTTTCAATTAAGGAAACAAAGGCAAAACTTCGTTATATGGGTCAATAAAAATTTCAGGCCTTGTATATTGCGCATTTTGTTCTGATGCTCTGCGAATTTTGGGCGTATAATGTCGCCCCAGCTGCAGTGAACGCCTAAACTGGCGTCTTGTACTGAATATGAATAACCCAAGGGCAAGTTTAAGTTTAAACTACACAGAGGTAGTTTTAAATAACTATAATAATCCCCTCTCCATATAACACATTTACACCCTAACGCACAAGTTGTCATTTTGGGGCTGCCTCGTAACCAAGGCACCTCTTTGTAAAAAACAGCGACGCGCGCATGACGAGTTTACATGAAGTATTGTACTGGCGAGTGAAGGGCGAATGGCTCTTCCTAACAGCAAACAGCCACTTCGCGTGTCGCCCGTCTGTCTGAATATCTGGGTACGAGGCAGATTTTGGGACCAGTGTGAATGCCTCAGCTGGCGCCTTGTTAATTGTACTTATAAGCCGGGCAATCAGAAGAGACATGGAGAGTACAATGTACAATAATAGATCCACATATGAAAACCAACATGACTATACCTCTCAATTCCTCTGGTATATCTTCACAAATTCTCCTCATCCGTGCAAGAGCCATCTTGTAGTTACGGTACATGTTATTAGCTACATATGCAAAGAGAGAAGATAGGGAAGATATAACCAACTGAAATACACCTGTTCATGCAATTTACCCACTCACACCACCCAGAGGGGAGGGCAATTTGTGAAATAAGAATAAAGTGAAATATCCACAAATATTACTGTTGAATTACAGTATTGAATTACAGTATTGAATTACATAATTGAATCATCTCATGAATTTGCCATTCCTGAGATCATATAATCCAAACCTTTTCTGGGGGAGAATGCCCACAGGCTCTTTATCTATAAGAAATAACCTAGCTGATTGTCCTAGAAGTTGAAAAGTATGAACCGAATGAGCTGCTAACCTTCAAAGATTCCGACAATAGGAAATCACTAGGGCCCCAAGGATTGTTTTTCCCAGAGTTCCCAAATCCTAACTCCACCTACACGTGCATTCGCTTGTAACCCGATTTCAATTTTTTGGCACTCGCCCACCCGCCGTTCAGACACGCAGCCGTCATTTTATTAGCCATGAGTGCGCTAACGAGAGGCACCCGCTCCCCCCGAAAGTGTAAAACAATCCCGCCATTTTGAATGTTTTCCAGAGACTGACGGCCTGTTCTTACCTCACTAACACGGTCATGGCGGCCGGTTACGCTGGCATCAAAGGCACCGACAAGGAGTCGGACCTCTATATAGTTTATACTCTGTGGTAATAGGATGCAAATTACTGGCCACATCCTACCCTAATATTATTCCCCGGATACTGCATGCATATTCAGGTAAGTATACATACTATTACATAGTCAACAGATGTCAACATGAGCCGTTTATACGCATATGTGCCAATACAAACCTGCGCATAACGGTTTAACGCCATGAGAACGTTAACTTTATAGTACTAATTCCAGGGGCGTAGGGTGCGGGGGGGTGGGGGGGTGTGACACCCCCCCAGTTTTAGTGAGGTAGTCGGTAAAACGCGAAGTTATTCGGTAATGGCAAGAGCCATGACAGCGGTCGGTAAAACAAATCGGTTAAAGTGGAATTTTGCTCCTCGGTAAATGGCTTTTAATAATAAAAAAAAATTAAATTAATGTTGTGCCTTGTTCTCCAATAAAGTTATGCAAAATGTACGTAATTCGTCAGTATTAAAACACTTATATTAAATATCTACGCATTGGAGCCCCTAATTTCCTATCGTATTACACTTGCAAGAGCTGCGAAAACAGTCGGTTCTGATTGGACATGTTCAACTGTGCGCGAACTTTTGACCTTGATACAATGATACGCAAAAGAATTAAAGATTATATTTATATATTTGTTATTGACACGCGGTGCTCATAAAATGTTTCGCCAATTTTTCAAGTCTGTTCATTAGAATAAACAACAAGATAAATGCCATTGGGTAAAATGACTTATCGCGAAGTAACAAAGACAACAATTATTCCAATTAATAAAGCGTTTGCTACGTTTCTGGTTCTACGTTATTTCTAGACGGCTGACTAAAGTCACGGTAAGTGTCATTAAATTAAACGCGCGCCGAAATATTTATTTGTCAATTGCTGTATAGCTGTTATGTTATGTATATGTTATATGTAGCGTATAAGGGGCGGTCACGGATTCTAATAAAACCTCACGGTGAGCTCACACTCACAGTCTCACAGCTTGTTAATATCTGACGGATTCTCGCGGATTTCGAAAATAACACAACTTCAACAATATGGTTTTGTTTGATATAAATAAAAGCTACCAAACCTTGTGTGTATAAGGTACAGAAGGCTCTGAAAATGCCATTTCCAACGATCTAGAGACTCCATATTTTCAAAAATTTTCCGCTCGGCGCCAACCATGGTGGCGCCTCGTGGCGCGTGGGTCGGTAAAACTTACATGTTACACCCCCCCAGTTAAAAAGGTCATGCTACGCCCCTGACTAATTCCTTGTGTACCTCCACGCGACATAAATTTTCGCGACATATTAATTAACGTGGATTTCTTTAATAACATTTATTAAATTAATAACGGATTTCTTTAAAGTTATTTAAATTAACGCGAATTTTTAAAATCCATCGCGGTTGATTTCCTATGTTAAGGTAGTATTCAGTTTGCTTTTTAAACCTATAGCTATGTGCCAGTATCTGGGCATAAGAGCAGTGGTGCCTAAATTACTTTGAATTTGTACTCGAGTAAAAGTAGAAGTAATTAACAATAAAACGACTTGAGTAAGAGTAAAAAGTACTGGAGGCAAAACGTATACTTAAGTAAAAAGTAAAAGTTCTATTATAGCGTGTAGGGGAGGGGGGCCTCGAGGGGGACTTCTCCAATGGATTGACATACAAAATACACAAAGCAGCACACGCATTATATGCGTGCACCTAATATACAATATTTCACGGCATGGTCTACTTTCCAGACCCCGTTCGTGTAGATATAAGAAATCCATTAAATAAATAATGCTTATAAGTAAGCCACAAACGAGAGATCCCAGACGCACGTAGAGGTCGTATTACCTATCCCAAAATTAAAATATATCGCCGGATAAATCACGTAAAATTAAACAACAAGTAACGAAATACTTCGCCACAAAATGAAAATAACGAAGTAAAACGTTACTTCTTAAAACGACTTCGTTCCAAGTAAAAGTACTCGAGAAAAAGTTTACATGCCGACTTCTCAAGAATAGTACTCAAGTACAGTAACGAAGTACATTTACTTCGTTACTTGACACCGCTGCATAAAAGCATGCGTTCTTTAACTTACATTGCAAACTTTCATCATAATAAACGTCGGCCATATATTGAGCGAGAAGCTTAAGGCCATCAGTCAGAAAATCTTCCAATTTATGTTGAGAATGTAACAATAAACAACGATGATAGACTAGCTTTACTTCCTAAAATAAAACGTAAACGAAACATAAGGAATTTAAATTATATGTTGCAAAATATAAATAAAGTATTTAGAATTTCGCGTCGAAAATTTGATACATTTTACACTGAAATCGAATTGAAAACAACTAAAAATTCTGGGGGAAATATGTACGAAAGCTTCGGTTGGATAGGGATACAGCTACCTGAAAAATACAAGGAGAACTTCGACGTTTCGAGCGAAGGCGCTTCGATCTGTACTGTTTATAGTGTTTGTATACATCGTACTTGACCTTTACTGATAATTAAATATAATCTCCTCAATAATAAGTATTATATATTTTATGCTTTAAAATTTACATTTAACTCTCTGTCAGAATTTATGGTATACGTAGTGTTATAGGTATGACAGATTGACAGTATATAAAAGGTCAAGTACGATGTATACAAACACTAACAGCACAAGTCGAAGCGCCTTCGCTCGAAACGTCGAAGTTCTCCTTGTATTTTTCAGGTAGTTGTATCCCTATCAATCCGCGGCTTTCGTACATATTTCCTCCAGAATTTCTAGTTGTTTTCAATCGATTTCAGTGTAAAAAGTATCAAATTTTCGACGAGAAATTCCAAATACTTTGTTTATATACAGCTGACGTTGGAAATCCAACGTACTATCTGCCGTTAACCAATCACAGGCCTGAATCAATTCGATTTCTCCAGAGCTATGCCCACCCTTAACCTGCGAACGGGGGCATGCTCGGGGAACGAGATTGTCAAAACGCTTGTAAGCGCCTCTGCCCATCGGCACTAGTGCCAGGTCCCTGGACAAAATATATGCGAAGGAAACGTTTTTATCGAAGAATATTTGTACTAGCTGTTGCGTTATTGTTTTACTTGTTTATAACTTTTGGTTGTGCGATCTGGACACAAGCGGGAAGAAATCGGTAATATATATATATTCTATACGAAATAGACTTGCTATTTATCGGTTATAACTTATATTAATGCATGTTTTGTATTGTATTGTATGTAGTTGACATCTTCTATCATCTATCGTTTGAACATTCTATGCGTGTGTGTGTGTTCTTTGCGTGATACTTGGTAGTTGCTAGTGAACAACAACTCCCTTGATGTGCCCAGATATACGCGTCCCTATAAAAGTCGAAGACAAGTAGAACAAGGAATTGCGATTTAACGAGTGGGAGTTACAGTCAACGATTTCCCTCGTAAAAACTACAACGAACCTTTTTATTCATATAAAAACACGATCTTAATAAGATATATTACGAGAAAACATTTGGCGAAGTGTACTACCTTGATTGGGGATTCTGTAAACTTGATTCATCGTGAAATTCTATAGAAATATTCGTCCTAAATTGGATACAGTTAATACATGCTCGAATTTATTCTCGATTTCAATTTGCTTTTCAAAACTGACTTCCAATGTTTACTTGTAAATTCGGAATGTTCGTTGTAAAGTTCCGAAGTTTGTTTCGAAGTTCATTACGATGATTCAATAGCAAGCGATTTGATTGGCTGGTTCACTTAACTAGTCAATTACAACTTTTTAATACTAAACTTGATTATCGTAAATCATCGGAACGAACTTCGAAACAAACTTCGGAACTTTACAACGAACATTTCGAATTTACAAGTAAACATTGGAAGTCAGTTTTGAAAAGCAAATTGAAATCGAGAGTAATATAAAACGTTCGCTGAACGTACGAACGCGCCATTTTGAATTTTCCATGTGGTCGTAATCGGAGGACTTCGGAGACCTCTCGGAACGAAATCGGCAAGTTGCAAAAATCCTCGAAAAATGGCGGATAAAAACGTCGAATCGGGTGGAACTTCAAGTAAAACCGAAAAAACTGATAAAACAGATAAAACGAACGCGGAAACTTTACGCTACGACGAATTACAAACGAGTTTGATCCATATTTCAAAGAAAAGACCAGAAGATATCTTTCACGACACAACCAAAGCGTGGAGAAAGCAAATCAACCACGTTCAAGGAAAATTAGTAAATTGTACTGAAATTGCATCTTTACAAAATGACTGTCGCATTTTGGAACAATGCATGAAGGATTTAACGAAAGCTCACGAGGAATTGGAAAGTGTCATCGAGTCTCCGGTTGAGAAAATTGCTCTTTTCGGAAAATTTGAGGACATGAGCAAGGAAAACAACAAGGTTGTACAGCAAGTGTGTCAAGCAATAAGGGATATGAAATTTGACGCTGAGTACAACCATTCTGTGATATCTCGAAGATCTGGTAGAAGCCACATTTCTCGTAGGTCATACCGAAGTAATCTGTCCCGATGTTCAAGGGTCAGCACTACGTCATCGAATAGACAGAGGAGGCAAGAACTGGAAGAGAATGCAGCCGTGCTCAAGGCCAAAATGCGCATTGCTCGTGAGAAGGAGAAATTCGATCAAGCAAATCGATTGGCCTTACAAGAAATTGAAGGCAAACTACAAGAGATTCAAAACGAAGAGCGGAAGGTTAAAGAGCAAATTACTCTTACTGATGAAAGATTCAAGATTAGAGAGGAACTCGCCGAAGCAGAAGCTCGAATTGATGTCTGCACAAGGTTCGAGGGTGAAGAAGAATCATTCAGAACCATTGAAGAGAACCCTTGTGGTGATAATGCACACGATCGCGTCGAGCGCTTCCTCCAGTCTCAGTCGTCACCAGACGCATCACCCTTAACAGAATTGGAGCATCCTGGAAACTTCACCTCCAACCAAGAGGCAGGTCCTACAACACCTGTAGAGAATCAAGCGGTCAGTACGTTGAATCCTGACGCTCGTAACTATTATTATTATTATTATTATTATTATTATTATTATTATTATTATTATTATTATTATTAAAGTCTTTATTGTCTAGAGTCACAACAGACGTGCAACTTTACAAATGTCAAATTCCTATTTGTTACAGTTAAAAAAATTGATCTATCCTAATTAATTATATAAAAGTTAAAAATAGTTAAAAAGACATCTATTTATAAGGATCGTTTAAATCGCTCCGTTTTAATTTGAGGTAAAATAAAGTTATGTTTCCTTTTTCTTAAGATCCTTTGTTTACACACAGGAAGCAATTCATGTAGGGCATGTTCTGGATTCGATACGATTTTGCTGAATAATTTTCTGTCTCTCTCCTCGATCACTTCAGATATCTTAATACTCTTTGTCGTATATCCATAACGATAAGCCCGCCGGAAAAACTTGTCTATACGATCCAAATATTTCTTTTGGAGTGCAGAGCCCCACACTTTAATGCAATAGTAAAAGAGTGACATAATTAGCGAATCGAATAATTTGCTTAGCTGATCTGCAGAGTAACCATAGCATCTACACACTCTCAATATGTACATACGCCCGCTGGCCTTCGACAGAAGATCATCGATATGAAGATCCCAGCAACATGGATTTTCCTGAAATGTGACACCTAATAATTTCAACCAGCTCTTTCGTTCAATGCCTACAATCGGTGCCGGTAACGGTTTCATGGACCCACAGTGCACAACCATTTCCCACGTTTTAGAAAGATTTAATGTCATTTGATTTGCTTCCGACCAATTCTGAATGCTTTCCACCTCAGCCTCAGCAGAATCCGATCCTGATTTTACTGGAGCACTTGTCGTTATATCGTCAGCAAATTTAACCAATAGGTTATTTTGCGCATCCATGGGTTTTATATCATTAACCATCAACGAAAATAGAAAGGGACCCAAAACCGTACCCTGCGGTACGCCTTTGTTGATATCAACATAAACAGTTTCTATGCCATCAACAACAACTCTTTGTTTTCTGTTGGCCAGAAAACTAATAATCCAGTTTATAGTATACGGATTAATTTCGAGTGTTTTCAATTTTTCACAAATAATGTTATGGGATACCGAGTCAAACGCTTTCTTATAGTCAAATGATGTTACCCCAACAGAGTCTGCACCTTCATCCAGCCACTTGAGCCAATGATGCAAACACATAATCAGAGCATCGGTAGTATTTGTTCCCTCTTTATAAGCAAATTGATCTCGTCCGATCACGGATTTGAATGCAGACGCAATCTCCTGTTTATAAACTACCCTTTCAAATAATCTCATAATGATGTTTGTGAGCGATATAGGCCTCAACTGATTACACTCTGTCAAAGGAGATTCTTTGGGTATAGGGTTCACATTGGCGAGCTTCCACATCAGGGGGACCGACATTGTTGTTCGATTGAGAGATTGAACACTTTGGTAATTATGGGCGCTAAAAGTTGTGCAAAGTCTTTCCATAACCAATATGGAAGCCCATCAGGACCTGGCGCTGTTCGTTTTAGTTTCGTCAAAAAATTAATAACAGTAGGCTCATCAATGGTAGGAACTCGGGTACCTATAGGAATTGGTATGAGTTGGGGGGATATGTAGTTCGCATCCGTGTTTACATTTTGAAAGTACGAGTTAATATGTTGTGGATCGATGACTGAGCTAATATTGCTGTTCTTGCTTTTTCTACCAGTAATTCTATTCACAGTATCCCACCACTTTTTGGATCCAAAACTATTTTTTCTATTCTCATCATCAACGGAACGAACAAGATTTTCACGAATTAGCTCATCAATACGTTTTTGCAGATCATTATTGACTCCCTTCGTTATGTTCTTATTCCTTATCATACATAAGTGTTTGACCAAAGGAGACATGGTGGGTCACGTGTTGACATTTTTACTTTAATTAACGGGAAACAGTCATTAAACATGTTGGTGATAGTGTCATTTAATAGAGTAACTGTATCATTGACATTATTGCAATTATAAATGTGACTCCAATCACATGTCTCCAATTTCCTCATCATGCTGAATTTCCGATGAGCTCTTACGTCTCTAAAGTAGACATCCTTTCTTTCGGGTTTTATAGCTTGTCGCGGGGAAACCATGACAACCAAATGGTCAGATCTTACTAGACCTTTGAAAACCTTTGATTTTTCCCCAAGATGTGGACAGTTGGTTAAAAATACATCCAAAATTTTATGATTTCGGGTAGGCTTCCTGACTAATTGTTCCAAGTTGTGCTGACTGATAAGGTCCTTTGTTTTTAATTGATTAATGTCTCCTGCTATAATTATTCTTGCATTGGGCTCAGGATAAAGAATCTGTTCTATAGTTTCAGACAAATGATTTAGTAACTCGGTCTCAGGATAAATGGGGTCAGGTGGGTGATATACTGAAGCTACGTAGTATTTAGTATTAGGTGTTACAATTTCACACCAAACACACTCAAAGTTGTTGTCAAAATCCAGATTTTTAACTTTCCAGTCGTCTCTACACAGAATAGCCACTCCACCCCCAACCGCGAGTCACACCGGTCTTTTCTGGCAAAAACGTAATTGCCGAGACACACCAGGCTTGACGGAATTTTGTCGTTTAACCATGGAGTCAGTAATGAAACAAATATCAATGTTATTAGTGCACAACTCAACGTTTAGGGAGACAGCAGCATCAGGTTTTGCTAGAGAACGAGCGTTAATAACCATGCATTTGGGTATAACTTTAGGAATTGGAGGTCCCGTTTGTTCTAATGTTATACTAATATTGTTAGTTGTGTTACAATATCTAGGTGTTCTTGCCATAATGGGGGGCGGCAATATTTCCCACGCTGTGGAAAAAAAGACCGTTCGATTTCCCATGCATTATTTCTGTTTCTTATTCTCCTTACAGTTCTACGCGATGCTTGCTTTTTAGCAGGGCGATGGCTAATTCGGACAGGGATCTGAAATGTTTCTTTTGAATTCAACACGTTTGGCGTAGCATTTAAAGTGCCTTCGGCTTTGTTTCCACTGTTGTTTTTTATTTACATTTGCATTTGCATTTGCATTTGTAGAAGCACTTTTATGCGATTGTTCGGTATTGCTGGTGGCAGAAAGTATGTTTAGATTTCTGCCCTCATGGGAAAGCTCACCTATTTTCGACTGTTCACTATTGTTCCTAACAGGGAAAACCACCTTTGTCAGAGTTAATTCCTCTTGTGAGTGATTGATGGATTTTGGCAATGGCACCAAATCGTGGTGTGAAGTTTTCTCGCATGACTGATCTATAGCCGTAAAAGTTTCTGTGTTATCCGGTACTTTTATTGGTGTGAAGTCTGAACAACAACGGGATTAATGTGAGGATTTGATTTACTAACCTCTTTTGTTTTGTTCGTGCCGCCGCTGCTAGTGGATGTAGAGGTTGTCAACATATTTTCGAGATTTGCATGATTTTTCGGCTCTTTTGGTCGGCAATCGTTCATGCGTAATATTTGGTTTTCCATGGCTTGGATTTTATGGCTGAATTTCGATTCCAAAACAACCAAGTCTAATTTCAAATCCTCCAAGTCTGGTGATAGCTTAGAACATTCACAACTCGTACACTGATGCATGATGTTTTTGTTGGTTGGTTTTCGTTGAAGGAGTTCTCGGTGTTAGTAGACATGTCCACACTAGACTTGACACTATCGAGGTTTAAACTCGTAAACATAGCGTTGATCATACAACGTTTGATTCGATTTGCATCCTCTCCATTGATCTTTAGGAACTTTTTTTTTCCACCAAAGCAACTCAACGTTGTTTGATCATGACACGAAAAGTTTCTTCTCGTTCGCCGGGGATGACCAGCTTCCTTGCAACTCTAGGTCACTCTCTACAAACTCCTTCAAACGATCTAAGTCGCCAGCCCAGGATAGTCTTAAATTCGCTGACATATCGAGTCAAGACTGTAGAACGCCGAATTCTACGTTTCAATTATCAAAAGAGCAATTGCGTAGATTATATCATAATTTGCTTCAAATATTTCACAAAATTGTAAAGCGAGCAGGAGCTCTACAACACACGTCCGTCATTCAACACACGTCAAATAGATTGCCAAAGGAGCCAGGCCCCTGGAGGTATGCGGGCGTGCTCCTCCAAACAATCTTCAAATTTAGAATCTTTGAAACGCCATTCCATGCCCTTTGGGAAAATATTATACAGAATTGTAATTTGCTCCACAAAATTGCTGGGGTGTCATAACCCCAACTCCTCCCCTCCAACCTCCAAGGATTTACGCCCCCTGTACACGACCGGAATGTCATGTTACGCACCGATCAAGGCTGATGCCTATTTCAGTATAAGTAAGAAATTAAAGGTCTCTGCTAAAAATCCACGTTATGGTAGTTATAGAGCATTGCATTGTTTGTTTCATCAAATGTGGATATTACATTATTTATTTCTTATGCTTATTCTAAGGTGGATATTAGATCTATAATTCAGTGGATATTAGATCTATAAGTAACATTAATATTTTTAAAGCCAAATTAAAGACTTACCTTTTTAAATTAGCCTAAATCATATTATGACTCATAATTATAAGATGAATTTTATTTTTAAAATTTTTTACTAGTTTTAAAATAATATATTGATATAAGACTAGTAAGCGTCGAATTTTAACACCATATATATAAACGATGTGTAAAATACTGTATACTTAATTTCAAAACGTAAAGCGCATAGAACAGCATGCGAAATAGAAATTTTATTATTATTTATTATTATAAGGTGGTGAGTGGGTCAAATCACGGCCCTGAAGGGTGTTTGAAACTGATGATTGAGAATATGCCCGAAATGGCGAAGAAGTTATTAGACAAATGTGTAACTACTAAAGGATCGAAAGAAACTCGTGGTTATCAAGTCATTTATGATTTCTTTTGCCTAGAAGAAACAGGTATGTGTATGTCTCAAACATTAATAATTCATAAGTAAATTAGCCAATCAGAGATTACTTTATTTTGCTCATATGATAATACTGGATACGGTGAAATTTAATTCATTCCTTGGACTGGATCAAAATTAAATCACCTCACTTTAAGTTTGTTCGTATGAGATGTCATATCAAATCCGATAATTCGGACTTTACCACTTTACCAAGAAAGAAAGAAAGAAAGAAAGAAAGAAAGAAAGAAAGAAAGAAAGAAAGAAAGAAAGAAAGAAAGAAAGAAAGAAAGAAAGGAAGGAAGGAAGGAAGGAAGGAAGGAAGGAAGGAA